AGGAACATAGGGGTAAAGGGGAAGAAGTAACTCAAAAGAGGGGAGACCATAGGAGACAGATTGTCAAGGAGGAAATGGGGGAAATGGGGGTACTTTAACTGGGGAGGGAGGAAAGAGGATTAAACAGGGATAGAGAGAAAGGAAAGATAAAAAATGCTTAGGTGATGTGAAAAACAAGAGGGAACTGCATTGATTCAAAAGCTTATTGAAAAATATACATACAATATATGTATATGAGTGTGTGTGTATTAGCTGAAGGCTATATAATAAGAAACATAGTGCCAGGCAGGAGAAACTTCTCTTCGAGTTGTTGGTGAGGGTATTCCAAAAGACTCCCAAAATAATACAGGTTATTGGCACAACCCTTGATCTCCTCCCAGAACTTGAAGGTAAGACCCTATTGCTGAAGACAGGACATATACTTCAGACACAGAACATGAAACAATGGAGCTGGAACGGACCTGGAAGCCTTCTCTCTGAAGACTAGCTCTCATAGTATCAGAAGATACTATACAAGCTGCAAAGGGATAAAATCAATCTATGGTCCAACCCCAATTATAAAGCCAAATAATAAGAACGCTAACTGGCACAGCAAATTATCTCCATCAGTGCAGTACTGGCACTTTTATCTTTGGGGTAATCAAAGCTATCTAATTGGACTTGCAACCCACTCAGTGGAAGGGAACTCATGTTTGGTACTGTAAACACAGTCACATGCACATGGTTAAGAGATCATAGATCCTAGAGAAACACCTACTACATCTGTCACATCACAGACAAATGTAACTTTTTTACTGTATGCTAAATATATATCCTTATATCTACAGACAATATCTCTCACCACTCATAAAAATCTTCTTTTTCAAAAGGTGAAGACTATTAGAGAGGTCAAGACAAAAACCCAGCATAGATTGGGGAAATGGGAAAAAATTCCCATCTTTAACTAAGGAAATATCGGCAGCTGATCACTCCTGGGTGAGGTAAAATTGGTCTTCTTTAAGGAAATGAGCCTACACAGGATGACCTGGCTCCAGTGTATGAACTCACACCAAGGTATATCTGGGGACACAAACTTGACTTGATAGCCATGAAATTCAGTGGGGAGGGAGACTATGGGGCAAGTGCAGACAGGGAAGGGGGTCCAAACATGCTTAAGATATATTGTATGAAGTACACAAAAATTCAATTAAAAATATATATTGTAATAAAAAGGGCAAGAGGAAGGCTGGGAAGTTGTCTCAGCAGTTAAGAGCACTGGCTGCACTTGCAGAGGACCCGGGTTCGATCCCCAGTATCCACGTGACGGCTAACAATCATCTGTAATTCCAGTTCTAGGAGAATCCAACACCTTCTTCTGACCTCCTTGGGTGCCCTTACACACATGCAGGCAATACACTCATATACATAAAATAGTTAATTTTTTTTAAGACAAGGGAGACTTGTTTCAAAGAAGCAGTTCAGTGGGAAGAAGAAAATATATGAATATGATCGAAGCACATTATATGTGTGTGTATGTAGGAACTTGTTGAAGAGTAATTTTTAAAGATAAAAAAGAATTAAATTGGCTGAGTATAGCTCAGTGGTAGAGCACTGTGTGTGTGTCTGCGTATGTGTGTCTGTGTATCTGGGTATACATGTCTGTGTCTGTGTCCTTGATCTCAATCTCAGCACCACAAGAAAGAAGAGGAAAAGCTCCTTTTCCCGTTTAATGTAGACACTTAATTTACAGTTGATTCTTTGTTCTTCACATTGTCTGTCCTACTCTGCATCACTATCACAAGCAGAGCTGGCCCAATAGACAAGATGTGTTGCTGTCCTTTCTCAGTAGCTTCTTCTACCTGAATCCATCATAATTACGGGGTTTGTCTTTTAAATTCTCAACATCTTAGCTCATTATCAAATTTGTTTCATAGTGAGTTGGCTTCATTCTTTAGCTTTAGGATATCGTAGACTGGTTTATTTCCGATACTACAAAAGCATATTTCTTTTTTTTTTTTTTTTTGGTTTTGCCAGGAACTCACTATGTAGACCAGGCTGACCTTGAACTCACAGAGATCTGCCTGCCTCTGCCTCCGGAGTGCTGGGACTAAAGGCCTGCGCCACCACGCCCGGCAACAAAAGCATATTTCTTATGACAATGAGCTTCTTTGCCCTTTCATGCTCACAGTTTGACCACAGTGATTTCACTTATTACTTTTCTTACCCTAAATTAAGCTATTTAACTTGCAGAGCAGGAATCTCAGTAATGATGTCCCTGTGTGTGAGATGCCTTTTCATTTATTCTTTTGCTTTTCAGATAAGGACTGCTAATTTGATTTCTGTGAAAAAGATTAAATTAAAAACTTCCTTTTATTTTATGTATATGAGTGCTTGCATGTATGTATGTATGTGCACCAGGTGTGTGCATGGTACCTGCAGAGGTGAGAAAAAGGTGTCAAATTCCATGGAGCTGGAGCTACAGACTACTATGAGCTGCAAGATTCATGCTGGGAACAGAGCCTGTGTCCTCTTAGCCACTGAGCAATCTCTCAGTCCACTGAGCCATCTCTAAGCCCCCAAATCAAGTTGTCTAGGTAAGCTTTATTGCTGAATAAAATGAAAGGAAAGGAAGAGAAGGAAGGAAAGGAGGGAGGGAGGGAGGGAGGGAACAAGAAGGAAGGAAGGAAAGCTATGCTTCAAAATATGAGGGTTTTGGAACTCAAAGAATCCTTGAGAGTACTTCAATTTGCTGGGTCCCAGAGGACTAACTGACTTGCCGGCAGTACAACATCAAGGCAGCATGCTAGTAGCAGCACTCAGGCATTAAAGAGAAAATGGATTGTTTTCATCACAATGAAAATGAGTCACAATACAAAGTCAGGTAGAAAGAAAAGATACTTTGCCATAAGAGACAGTTATTTATGTGATTATTTTACATCCTTCGTTTTGAGTGAATTCTATTTTTCAGGCACTATGTGAAGGCTTTCTTATTCACATCTTAATTCATTGCCTCAACAACTTTTTTGAGGTAGGTGTTATTATTATACCAGTTTTATAAATAAGGAAATTGGTGTGTAAGAGACTAAACAGCTTCATACATTGTTTATATTAAAAAAGTAGTGAAGCTAGAATTTGAACCCAAATTTCTCCATTGGAAATCTGAATAACTGTACTTTAGCACAAGTCTTGGTCTGTTTGTGTGTGTAGTTTATTTCCAGCTGAGGGCATTCTTAATCTGGAAGACTGTCTTCTAACACAAAAGGAAGTCTTCTTGGACACAAAAAAGGGAAGTCTTATTAGAGAACAAGGCAAGAAACTCATAATGGACAATTGGCCCCTGTCACCATTACTCCAGAGAACAATTAATGCTCAGGAGTATGCCAGCTCTAATGATTTCTGGGCTTTTCACGTGGGACCCTGGATTGACTGACAGAGCACAAACTCTGGGAGGAAGGACCATCTCTGCCCATTAAAACAATAAACTTCTATAGGCCGTTTGGGAGTTTTAGTGACAAAGGAGCAGGAATTCCAAAAGCAGGTATTTCTATTTCCATGGGGCCAGTGTATAAAAGCTTGATGGAACCAGAAATCAGGCTTACAGCATCAGAACACACAGCCAAACTCAGAACTGCAAGACAGGTTATGGAAACAAAGCCATCAATACTTTATCAATTTTGGAGCAAGATCTCAGGACACGTCTACTGAAAAAAAAAATTAGTAAGTCTAATTCATTCCTGCCTACTTCACAATGTGCACAAAATGTAAAGGGTGCAGAGAAACACTTCTGCTTCCTGATGCTGTACAGAGAAGTCAGTGGGTTTATATAAATTAGGTCTTTCAACAGTGTCTGGTACACAAGTATTAAATAAATGTTCATGATTATATTATTATATTATGATAGATATAAGTATTGTATATATTATGTATTGTGATTGATAGTATATGTTTTATTATTTCAATAGTAACTGACGGGCACTGCAGAACTCTGAGGAATTAGCAATGAAAAGCATTCATTCGTTTAATAAATATTTACTGGATGCTTATGTGCCGAGCCCTGTCTTGGGTAATCAAGAAACATAAACAGAATGGACAAAATTGCTTGTCTGCCATTGAGCAACTTTCAGTGTATTTCATACAATAATTCTTAATCAAATTTATACCCCCTCCCCATCCATGCCTCCCCCACTAGGCCTCATGCAGTCCACCTTCTACCTGAAATCTCTTGATCTCTTTTAGTCAGCAAGGCATACACTATAAAGGTTTTAAATAGTGGGAGCAAATTATTTACTTGATATTTTTTACCAGAAGATATCTGGAAATGTTAAATGAGCATTAGCAGTTTCTGTGATCTTCCAAGAGTTTCTCTCTCTCTCTCTCTCTCTCTCTCTCTCTCTCTCTCTCTCAAAGTAATTTTTCTCTCTCTCTCTCTCTTCCCCTCTGTACACATTCATGTGCACATGTGGGAGCATACATGTGAAGGCCAGGGGTCAACATGAAGTCTTTCTCACTTGTTTTCACTTCATTTTCTAAGAGACTATCTACTGAACTGAACCTAGAGCTCACTGATTCCACTACCTTGGCTGGTTATGAAGTCCAGGGATCCTCTTGTCTCTGCCCCACCCCACCAACCTCCCATTGTATCATGATTAAAAACACACATAGCCAGGCCTGGCTTTTTACATGACTGCTGGTGATCGAAGCTCAGATCCTGGTATTTGTGCAGCAAACGCTGAACCATCTCACCATCTCCATCTTTTGTTTACGAAGCAGAGTATCATATATCCCAGGTTGGCTTCAAACTCCTTGTGTAGGCAAGAATCAACTGCTGATCCTCACAGAATTAGAAATATAAGCCACCACACCCATGCAGTGCTAGGGATTGAACACAGGACTTTGTGCATGCTAGACAATCACTCTATCAACTGACCTACATCCCCAACCCAAGTTTTTATTCCTAAAGTTACAAACACAGTCTCCCTGATTTCAGGATTGTGTCCTTCTTCTATTCAGGAAGCTCACCTATGACTGGAGGGAAAAACAACACAAGTGTTACAAAGTTCATCCTCCTTGGTTTCTCAGATCAGCCTCAAATGAAGGTCTTCCTGTTTGTGTTCTTTCTGGGAGTCTATCTCCTCACCCTGGCCTGGAACCTGAGCCTCATCGCCCTCATCAGGATGGACACTCACCTGCACACGCCCATGTACTTCTTCCTCAGTAACCTGTCCTTCCTGGACATCTGCTATTCATCCTCCACAGCTCCTAAGATGCTTTCTGACATCATCACAGGGCAGAACATCATTTCTTTTGTGGGCTGTGCCACGCAGTACTTTGTTTTCTGTGGAATGGGGCTGACTGAATGTTTGCTCCTGGCAGCCATGGCTTATGACCGGCATGCTGCAGTCTGTAACCCATTGCTCTACATGGCGCTCATGTCCCACACACTGTGTTTAAAGATGCTGGCTGGTGCCTATGTGGGTGGATTCCTTAGCTCTCTAATTGAAACATGCTGTATCTATCAGCATGATTTCTGTGGGTCTAATGTAATCAACCACTTCTTCTGTGACCTCCCTCCAGTCCTGGCTTTGTCCTGCTCCGACACCTTCACCAGTCAGGTGGTGACCTTCATTTTGGGTGTTGTGGTAGGATTGGTCTCTGCCCTTGTGGTCTTCATCTCGTATGGATATATTGCTGCTGCTGTGCTGAGGATCAGCTCAACTAAAGGCCGGACCAAGGCCTTCAGCACCTGTGCATCTCACCTAACTGCTGTGAGCCTCCTCTATGGCTCTGGTCTCTTCATGTACATGAGACCCAGTTCCAGTTACTCCCTCAGCCGGGACAAAGTGATATCTGTATTCTATGCTGTAGTGATCCCCATGATGAATCCCATTATCTACAGCTTCAGGAATAAGGACATTAAAAATGCCATGAGGAAAGTTATGGAAAGGAAACATATACTTTCTCATGGGCGTTCATTTTTCTGACCCTGGGCTGTGTTTAAATGAAGTCATGAGCTGGTTCATTGGTGTAGATGCTTAAGTAGTTTTGACTACTCGATCTTTATAAGAATTTGTGTGAACAAAGCTTTTCTCCCTTCTGTAAGATTTTCTCCCCTCTCACTAACAATTTTATTGGTAACTAGAAACTGTTTTGCTATTGTTGATTTCTAGTATTTAGTGTGCATATATTCCAAATGCTCTCATTAGTATAAATTTTCACCACAACATACATTCTGGAACATCAAAATAGTATGTGTCTGCACTTACGATGCAAGACCCAGAGAAATCAACCTGAAACTCAGCATGGAAGCCTCCTCCTTGCTGTCTAGCACCAGAAAGTGTTAGGTAGCTTGTTGGAAGAAAAAAGTCATCAACTGTTTCACACAACTGTGAACCTTGCCTACTACAATACTGAACAGCTGTGCAATATATGCTCACTGGACCAACAATAGCTGGAATGTTCCAGAAATAACTTACCATTTCCTGATCGGATCAGGGACCTACTTTATGAGAGAAAATACACATTTTTTTTTATTGCAAACCTGATCAAAAGCATGTGGCTAAGGATGACACAGGTCCTCTGTGGGAATCTATTACTCAATAATTGCTATAACTAGATGAACATCTAATGAACAAATAAATTGTCTTCTAAATATGTATGTTTATACTCTTAGACTAATGCAGCTCTCAGCCTCACTCGGAGATGCCTCTTTTGGCAGTGGGTGATGGTCAAAGCAGAGATTCATTATGATCGAAGTGCTGAGAATAAGTAACTGATGAGTGTGGTATACTTTCCATCTCCCAGGGCTCAGGAAACATCATGGATGAGGAAAAAGAAAGAATTACAAGAGCATGAGGATGGGAAGGGATGCTGGGAGATACTGTCTTCTAGACATGACACAGCTATTGAACTCATGAACTCATAGCAGCTGTGGTTACCTGCACAAGACCTGCATCGGATCAAGCCCTTAAACATTCCATCCATGAACATGAGTCTCCCCTAGATGAGGAGCTATAGGAAGCTAACAGGTCCTGAGAGATAAGGAATTACTTCTCTTTGGAGATACAGAAACTTCTCTCTGGTAAGTTGCCCATGATCTAGTAAACAACCTCACACTCATGCACATGCGTGCAAGCCCAGTTAAACTCAATGATTATATAAAAAGACATGGAAGCAGGAGGAGGGCATGTTGGCTAGAAGAATGGGTCCAGAGGAGGATAAAAGAGGAGAATGTGGATGAATATGACCAAAATACATTATGGACATGTATGAAATTGTCAAGTACATTAAAATTATATGTAAAAAATAAATGCATGGGCTGAGAAGCAGCATAGTGGTTAAGAATACCGGCTGTTCTTGAAGAGGACTTGGATTTGGTCCCAGTACCCCCATGATGGCTAATGACCACCATCTGTAACTCCAGTTCCAGGGTACCCAACACCACCCTCTTCTGGCCTCCATGGGCATTGCTTCCACACAGGGTACTTACATGCAGGCAAAACACACATACCTATAAAAAATTTAAAAAGAAGTGCATTATTTTATCCAAAATATGCATATTTATGTTGATTCAAATTAAGTTTTGCCAAAGAACAATGTAGAGGTACTTGTAATTGTTAGTTTTATGACTTTTTCATGTGTATGAGTGTTATGCCTGCATGTGTATAAGTGCACCCATGTCATGCAGTACACACAGAGGACAGAAAAGGGAGTTGGATTCCTGGAACTGAAGTTACAGATGGCTGTTAGCCACCATGTGAATGCTGGGATTTGAACACATGTCCTCTTCAAGAGCTGCCAGTGCTCTTAACCACTGAGCCATCTCTCCAGCCCCACCCCCCAGTGATTAGTTTTAAATGTTAACTTCCCACAACTTAGAATCACCTGGGAAGGAAGTCTTAGTGAAGGATTGTCTAGATCAGGTTGACCTGTGGGCATGTCTGAAGGGGATTATCTTCACTGCTTCAGCTGCAGTGCGATGGAAGACACACCCTGAATGTGGGCAGCAGCATTCCACTGGCCAGGCCTTGCATAAAAGTCAAGAACAAAGGAAGCAAGCAAGCAAGGATACCTTATTCTCTCTTTGATCTTGACTATGGATGTGATGTGGCTAGCTGCTTGACCTTCTGCCTTAACATCTCTGCAATGATGGACTATAACTTGGAATGGTGAACAAATAAACCTCTTCATCTCCTATGTTGCTTCTTGCCAAGGTATTTTATCACAGCAACAGAAATTAAACTAGAACAGAAATTGGTGCCAGAGAAATGAAGTTGTTCCTGTGATGAACCTGACCATGTTTCAGGGGAGGAGTATGAAAGACTTTGAGTGGAAAAGCCACTGAATGCCACTAGTGGAGTTTAATGGGCCATTCCAGTGACAGATGTGACAGACACTGAGAGAAATGTGGAATGTGGAGGCCCCGCTGATGAGGTTTCAGAGGGGAACAAGGACTTCATTAGGAATTGGACAAGAGACATTCACCTGATATTTTGCCTAAGGATAGATATATGTGTGTTGATCAGGCTGGGGTTGAAGAATCAGATGTAATTAATAAGAGAGCTATACCACTGAGGTAAAACCTTCTGCACTTCACTAAAAGAATAGGAAATTATATCTTCAGGGTCAACACACAGAAGCTGATATAACTGGAGTCCAAAAAGGCTGTGCTATATCTTCAACTCACAGCAGAACTTCTCAGTAATATAAGTCACCCACATGGTACTGAGTTCAAAATCATGAAGGGGTTGTAGAAAACCCTGAGATCAGACACCATGCAGCAGGGTCAGAGTCCCCATGAAGAAGCCAGTAGAATCCATTGTGAAGGTGAAACATCAGTTCCAATGGAGACCCCAGGATATTCGAGATGCCTGGACCACAGGATGCCTACCAAGGAGAGCCTCATGTATTGAGCCAAAAATAGAAGACAGCCTTTCCATGTACTGGGGATGGGAGAGCTGGAGGAGTAGGACTACTCAAGTCCTTTAGAGCATAGAAAATTACAAGCCAAAATACTTTACAATAGACAACTTGATTTGGAATTTGGAATATTGCCAGGTTTTGAATTTGCTTAAGTGTGATTATTTATTTGCAATGTTCCAGTTCTTCCCTTTGAATAAAAATGTATAAGTATGTAGCATTTTTATTTTCTAGAAGCCTACAGTTAAGAAATTATGGGCTTTTTAAAGAAATTGGGGGAATATCTTTTTTTCTTTTTTATTGGATTTTTGTGACTTTCATACAATATAATTTGATGGTGTTTAGATCCCCTCCACATCCATACTTCCCTTATTGCCTCCACCCAATTTAATGTACTCTGTTTCATACACACACACATACACACACACACACACACACACACACATATGGAGAAAGAGAGAGAGAGAGAGAGAGAGAGAGAGAGAGAGAGAGAGAGAACCTATAGAGTCTAATTTGTGTCTCCAAATGTCCTTCAGTATGGACCCATTCACTGCAGCCTGCTTAACCTACCAAGAGTCTGACTTGAAAGAGACAATTTCCTTAGGTGGGACCAGAGTTTCTGACCCACTTCATCTTATCTATGCTTGGATTTTTTTCTACTTTGAGCTTGCATGGAACCTGTGCATGCTGTCACCATTGCTGTGAACTCATATGAGTAACTAACAAGCTGTCTGGAAAACTTTTGTTTCTTTGTGGTCCTCCATCAACTTTGGCTCTTGCAATCTTTTTGCTTCCTCCTCCTCAATGATCCCTGAACCTTGGAGTGCAGCAGTTTGATATAGGTGTCCTATTCAAGGATAAGCATTCTACAACATCTTGTTCTTTACACACTGGCAAGTTATTCCCGTTTTTCTGTTAATCATCATCTGTGACATAAGGGAACTTCCATGGTGAGAGTTGTAAAATGCATTCATCTGTGGGTATAACAATAATCCATTAATATTCAGTTTAATATGATAACTATTTAGTAGAAAAGTGGTATTAGGCTCTTCCCTACGTCCTGTGGCCGGTCTAGCCTCAGGTTCCTAATAAGGCTGATAACAATTTCAGGAGTGCTCCATCCTAGAAAGTGGACTTTAAATCTGATCAAACAGTGGTTATTTACTCACAGAAAATTTGTACGACTATTGAACTTTGGACATAAATTGCTAGGCCACTTGTTGCTATAATTCACAGCATTCACAGCTGAGCAAGGCTGATGATTATTTTTTCCTTCTGGTAGCATACAGAGCACCATCCACCACTATGAACACTAGCTAGTAGAGATGAGACTCTGTTCTACACGTCATGTATGTAGTGTCTTCAGCAATAGTCTTACCATCCAGTTCTGGTGAGTACCCAAGAGCAGGGGCAATACCCAATATTGTTTTGACGGTCTATAGGACCCCAGTCAACAGCTTCTAGAAAGGGGGTTCATTCCTGCAATTGAGGTTTGTTTGTTTTTTCATTAGCCTATGATGTCTAGAGAGGGCAGTATCCCCCTACTATTGGATAAGTCCTTTTAATCTGTCTTTATGACACATATGTAGGGGGACTTCAAGAGGCTTTTAGAGTAGTAAATTTCCACATGGGTTTTTCTAAAGCCTTTAGTATTACTTGTCCCTCCCCATACTCCCTCCTCTGCCTGCCTTCCCATTCCTCACTCCGTTTAACCCTTCCTAATCTATGTTCCCCTTTACCCCGTCATATTATTGCATTATACTACCCCTCCCAGGAAGCTATTAGCCCTCCCAGGAAGCTTCCCACCCCCTATGTATTTTTTGTTGGGGTGTTTTATCAAAATAAAAGAAATGGAATAGAACAGAATTTGTTTCATACTTTTTATCTAATAAGCCAGTCCTTCCACAAATGAAACTTAACCATAAAAGCAAATAAAGTACACAAAATAAAAGGAGAAACTTATCATTATTTAGTGGAATTTTTCATCTTTAAAAAAAAGATTCTTTGGCTGATGGCAGATAATGTACAGTGCAAATGTGCTGCAATGAATTATATTTAAGCATTA